GTGATTGGTCCAGGCATTTCTAAGATACAGGTCCGGACGCACGCACGTATGCACGCACACACGCGTATGCACAGACACACGGAGGTCAAAACATAAGTCCCCATTTTCAGACTGCATCCGAACGGGGACTAAACAAGCAGCCTCTCGGCTGAGATAGCTCCGCTGTTAGCAAGGCACATTTCAATTGAAGAACTGAAGATATCATCAGAAAATGAACAATATGTATAAGTATGTATAGCAAATGGACTTGCTGTTTTCAACAATAATTCAAAAATATCACTTTTTACCAAAAATTACATAAATATTCATCAAAATTAGATAATTGAAGATATCATCACAAAATGAACAAATCTGAGAGAGGTCCACATGTAGTACCTATATATGTAATATCAAAGCAATCGGACTTGCGGTTTTTAACAAGAAGTCAAAAATATCACTTTTTACCAAAAATGACAAAAATATTCACCAAAATTAAAGAATCGAAGATATGATCATGAAATGAACAAATCTGAGAGAGGTCTACCCAAGGTACATATACACCAAGTATCAACACATTCAGGCTTTTAGTTTTCAAGAAGAAGTCGAAAAAGTAAAACATTGACACGAACGACGACGGACAATCACTCATATGATAAGCTCCGCTCGACAAAGTCAACAGCGGAGCTAAAAAACTTGGCGATTAGCACATAAAATACTACCCGCCCTTGATGTAATTTATGTACCAAAGAATAATGCTTCATAAAATATAAAATTTATCAAAACATTGGCTTTGTCATCACAGTTTGGAGAGCAGAAATATTTGATTAGATCTAAATGTTCACTGACTACTTGTTGATGAAGTTTTGGCCGAGGAAATCCTGCCAGACTTGTTGGTGCAGAAAAGTGGTCACACACTATTCTAAACCAATCCATGTTGCATCGGGGAAGGACAAGAAAATACTAACCAGCCACAATCACAATTAGTCTCTAAAACTAATGGTTTACATTACACAACAAATTTTACACATTGCTATCACATAATATTCACCAGTCCTGCAAAAGAAAATGGTCTCTGAGATTTCATTGAGGGTAAGAATCACATGACTTATTTTTTTTCTCAGCGGCTTTTTGTGGCTTACCGGTTAGATCAATTAGGTAGCTAGTTTGTTAACTTAATATGGTGCCAAAATCTTATTCAAGATGTATAGCTGATACTTCTTCACTGGATGTTTAATATAAGAGAGAACATACCTGAATATGGTTGTTCCTGAGATCAATTAATTTTACTGTCCAGTTGAATTTCAACATGGCTGACATTTGGATGGCATCAGAGGGAACAAGGCGGTTATCAGCTAGAAACAAATCCTTGACCGTCTGATTCATCTTTAATGATGACACTGAAAGTAGAAAACATTGAACCAGAATCAGCGATTTTTCGAGCAAAGAGAATTAACAACAAAATTGAACACTGAAATGACGCTTGTTTTCTTGTTTCAAGATCAGCATCAAATGACACTGTGTTTCACATTCTACAGGTGTAAGAACAACATAAAAGGAATATAGTAAACAGCTTTAATTTTGCAAGACAGTGTGTCAAAGCAACTTTTGTAAAACATTTCCAATGGAATGCTATTAAAATTACAGTAACCTGTGGCATTGCATATCAAGCCAGCATTACATTCAACAGTAACATTATTTGATGCGAGAAAAATGCAGTCAATTTAATGTTATAGCAATGTGATATGGCCTTTTCACAGCTACTAAAAAACAACAACCAGATACTTAGTGTTTGAAGCACTCACTTAAAACAAAGAATGGTCTTCCCGATAGGTTACAATTCTCAAGATGTAAAGATGAGACTGTGGTACCAACACGTAAAGATCTTCCTATTACAGGCATAGATAACTCTGTAACATTACAATTCCTCACATCAAGGCATTCCAACGATTCAGTCTGCAAACAGATCAATGAAATCGCGTAATTTTGTAGCAGTGAACATTTCACGGGGCTTCAGAAAACGGGAGAGTCAAAGTGAATGCTCTTGATTGCTAAGTGACATCAATTTTTAGTAGTAAAAATTGCAGTTTTACAGACCATAGAAGGTAATAGGAAATAAAAGAAGAAAGGAGAGAGGACGTTCTCCTCTATATCACTTAAATATATTTACTTGGTAAATAATCCCATAAAGTGATTACATAAACATTTAAAATTTGGATTCAGGTCAGCTTGAAAACGATCAAAGCTTTACAGAATTAAATTGAGCTAATCACAAATCATTGTAAAATATTCACAGTTAGAAAGTTATGTTAGAAATTGTGAACCATTCTGTCCATGCATATTGTCGCTTTTTCTCTCATGTGCTCATGTACGTAACAAGATGTGGTCAAAATTTTGTTCTCAGTCCCCAAAATCACAAGTTCAATCCAATTAGTGAAGTAAATAAGCGGATGACCCATTCTGCCCATGCATATTGTCACGTTTTCTCTCATGTGCTCGTGTACACAACAAGATGTGGTCAAACTTTTGTTCTCAGTCCCCCAAATCACAAGTTCAATCCAATTAGTTCAGTAAATAAGCGGATGTGAAGGTAGATTGAAACATAAAATAGATAGTAAACAAAAGAAACAAATCTCAACTAAAACTCATCTTGCTTCCCCTCCTAAAGCGGAAGCGCTCCATCCCATGGATTGCACCACATGGTCATGAGTAATTAACTCCGCCTCTGTCCACTAAGTAAATGAATGCTTATTATGCTCTTTTACACAAACTGTGATTGACAGGCATTTTGCATACATTAGCCGCCATTTTAAACTCAGGATTTTTTACTTGTCGAAAACAAGAACATTTATACATCAAAAGCCCAACCAGATGAGTGTAATCACTAGCGTAAATAATCATGCCCCCCCAGAAATGTATTCAGAATCACAGCTTGATCTCTAAACATCGTCAATGGCACATTTCCCGGAGCTCCTGCCACGATGTGAGCGGCTTGGTTCAGATTAGCATACTAATTGCGGTGGCCATCTTGCCCCTATTTACTAGCATAGTATTGGTTCCTTTAATAATAATGCCCAGATAAAAACTGAACAAAATACACAATCATAATACGACTTTTTCTGACACTTAATGTAACATGTGTCATCACAAAGAAATTATAGGAACCATTTTTATCAGATCACAGGAATGCTTACTGCTACTTTTACAATTACATCAACATTTCACTCAATGTGGATCTTGGCTTCTTTATCTATCCACAATCTTTCATCAGTATTCAAATGTGCCATCTTGAGTACATTATCTCATGCTTGGATGATCACAATCACGATTGCACACATCTGCCCTTAGCTTTTTTAATCAAACAAAAATCTAATAGACTTTTTCACAGATACATCTGACATATATCTTACTCTTTTCAAGTATCTAGCAGCAGCTTGCCATCCTCTAGGACCAATATTTCTATTAGATGCAAGAACGAGCTTCTTTGTAGACTCGTAGTATTCAAACATATCAAACAGAGCAATGGCACTCTGAAATAAAACAAAACAGAAATCAATCAAATAGGTGCGGAAAGCTCTCGCCAAGTTGAAATGTGCTGAACCGTAAAACCCAGCAGTCATTAATTAATTTGCATATTCACTGTACTTTATTACTGCTCAGAAACGTGAGGCGGGTAATTTAAAACAATATAACATGGCACTTAGAATGTTGCTGAAAATTGCGAGACTAATGATTTTTACCTCATCTTCTAAGTTAGCATTTTCCAAATCTATCACTTTGAATTGGACTCTCTTGAATACATCTTCAAGGGTTTCACAGTGTCTTATATCAAGACGTTCACCTGCAGGACAAGAGAAATCATCAAATTCAACATGTTAATATTTTGTTGATGGTTCTTACATTAGCTGCATTGAATGCAACTTGGTTGTGCCTCGTAAATACCATTACCATCAAGTCTGCCCATTATCCTAGAGCATCTAGGTATCAAGATTCATTAAAATCTTTCGTACAGTACTGGACTTAAATTACAGTTTAGGATAAGGCTTAAAATTGGCTCATTAATATGCAAATTAGGTAATTAATATGCACAGGATTTCAACCAAACAATAATCAGGTCTCTGCTTTATCCCAGAGCATATATGTATCAGAATAAAATGACAGCTACATATCAAAACAAAATACAAGCCAACCTGTTCCTCAATTAAATAAATCTACATGTACTTATAAAATAATATAACATGGATTTTAAATTATAGTGCAGTAATATATATTATTATACATCTTTCATCCTAACGTCATAAATTATAGCGTGCCGTAATTTTTTGGTATTGCACTGGGTACCATATTTGTATATGCAAATTCCAAAGATGGAATGATCACTCGAATAAGCTTCCCCTAAAACATGGAAAAAAAAACATGGCAGCCTCCAGCGCAAAGTTTGACCGGACCCCACACAAAGAAGTTCGCTAAATCTGTTCTAAACTTTTTTTGGTTTTTGACATTCCCAATCCCATGATGTATCCCTGGGAGGAAAAGATGTATAATAACAAGTTATTATGACATTGCAAAGTATCGCATGAGTATCAATTGAAGTGCATAGTTTTGTGGTATCTTCGTAATAACGTCACATTCGCAAAATAAAATATTGGTCAGATTTGAAAAAGGCAGGAAACAACATTTGTCACTTTTTTTGATATACCCAGTAATTGACAAATCTTGGAGAACATATTGCTAAGAGTGGTTCTCATTATCAGCATTATAAATGTCTTCATTCGGTCCATGTGTGTTTTATTTCAGCCAAATTATACCCCATTACTTGAAAGTTAATCAGTATCCTAAAAAAGGTACATAAAACACAAACCAAAATCAAATTTGGCTGGTATCTCAAACCGGTTAATATTATATCCAAGTTTGAAAGAAATTGGATAGAAACATTTTGAGTTAGTGTAACCATGAGAAAAAGTTTCACAATAAAGTTACTGACAACAAGTCATTGTTAATGACACAGTCCCCGTCCAAAATTTTGTGATCCGAAATATCAATTTGATGCTGATGAAGTCATTGAAATTAGATTGAAACCATTAATAGGAGATGGATTTGTAAAAAATTGGGCAGTCATATTGAATCAAATTACAAAAATAATATTCATGTTGATGTATCTAATGGTATACTGTCTTTGTACAAAATTCAAACAGAAATGTTCATTGCATTCATGGGAAAGTAAGCATGGGTATCATGAAAAACAAAATGGCCACCAGTCAGCCATATTAGTTTGAATCACAGAAAAAATATGACATGCAACTATAACCCAATATGTATGATCATCATACCAACTTTGATCCAAATTGGCCTAGTCATCTCTGAGAAACAGCTCCGGACGATTTAGCACTTTTACATGAAAATTGGGCATTGGCAGGCCATATTGAATTGAATCACAAAAATCATGTTGGTGCAGATGTATCTCTTGGTATATATCTTTGTACAAAATTCAAGAGAAAGTAGTATGGGTACCATGAAAAACAAGATGGCCGCCAGTTGGCCATATTTGTTCGAATCACAAAAAAACAAGTCAATGAAAATGACACAGTCCCCGTTAAATGTTTGAAAGTTCTCTTTGTGCTCGTCATATTAAAGCTGAGGGGTTGTTGCAAGCGTGTCCTTGAAACTTGAGTTCCAAGTGGCGCATACAACAGATTGTAAAACGCATGTTCCGTGTAGTAGTAATATGGCCAAAAATAAAAACAGCCGTTATTCGACCATCTTTGATCTGATTATGAAACACACTGATATGTATGATGTATGTGTACATAAATTGTGGAAATATAGCAGTAAGGCCAAAAAGTCGGATGGCTGTCAATCGGCCATCCTTGACCAGATTTTGAAACAAATTGTCATGGACATGCATCCTAACATGTATAAAGTACATGTATGTGCCAAATTTGAATGAAAACTGACAGAGCACATCCAAGATACTGCATAAAAAAACAAAAAACAAGATGCCTGCCAGTCGACCATCTTTGATCCAATTGCAAAATAAATCGCCATGGACATGTATCCTAACATGTATAATCTATGTACCAAGTTTGAATGACAACTGACAAAGCATGTCCAAACATTTTCAAAAAACAAGATGGCTGCCAGTCGGCCATTTTGAATCTAATCGCTAAACCACTGCATGTGCATATGTCCCACATAAAGTACTAGGCACATGCAAAGAATGAACAGAATCGGTCCAAGGGATTCTGAGATATAACTCTGGACGGACGCATGGACGCAAGGACACACGGACGCACAGACGGACGGACGGAGATCGAATCATAAGTCCCCGTTTTCGGACTTCGTCCGAACGGGGACTAAAAATGACGTGCACCTACAACCCAATATGTATTATACCAACATTGATCCAAATCGACCCAGTCATCTTCGTGAAACTGCTGCTGATATGTTCAGGTATCAGAAATAGCAAATTTTACATCCAAAATGGCCACCAGTCGGCCATTTTTTCTCCGATCATAAAATAACTTGACGTGCATATGTAAGATATTATGTATTGTCTTCATGTAAAGTTTGAATGAAATTCGTCATGGGGTGTCCGAGATATAGCTCCAGACGTACATACAGACGTATGAACGGACGGATGGACGAAACGAACCCAAATTAGTAGTCCCCGTTTTCGGACTTCGTCCGAACAGGGACTAACAATGACAGATATTTCCCCCTCATGATATGGACAAGGTAAAAAAATAAATACATAAATACCTTTTAAAATGAAAGATTCTGCACGTTGAGTGAAATCATCAACTGCCTGTAAGAGAAGCAAGTACAATAATAAATCAACAAAATTGTGAAATCTATCATTGATTTTTCAGTGCATTGAGTTGTTACGGTAGTAACTAGACAAATGATCAATTTGTAAAAGTACATGTATGTTAACTACTAACATAAAAATAATGTTATTAGCCAAGAAAAAGCTGAAGCAGCCTCTAGGCTGAGACACAATCATGAATGTAGCTCCGCTGTTAGAGACAACATTAAAAGTTCAATATAGGATAAAAAAACTTAATTCCTTTAGTCCCCCCCCCCCCACTGAAACTTAATTGATAAATATTGATCATGGCGTCACACTACATTTACCATTAAATACAAATTGATAATCGGACAGTAGTATGGCAGAGCAGTTGGTTGTTGTGTGGATGTAAAAAGGGGGAATATACACATGCGCCAACGACTTTCGTGGGTTCTGCGCATGCTCTAAGTCCATGCCCTGAAATTGATCTCATTTGACGCACATATTTACACTCTGACCAAACCATTTTCTCGTCTTGGATGTGTTTTTTTTCATTTTCCATGATTGGATAGAAAAAAGCGAACTACAAGTACTCAAAAATTTGTTTGACTTCATTAAAAAATAAAATCGTTTTTGTAGGATGGAAACTTTTTGAGGTCAAAACCCCCCACCCCCAAACTAAAGCAAATAAGTTTTTTATCTGACATCAATCTTTTGACGTCGTCCTTTAGCAATCTGACTTGCGGTTTTCAACAAGAAGTTGAAAGTATCACTTTTTACCAAAAATGACAAAAATATTCATCGAAATGAACAAATATAAATTTTGAAAATCAGCTATTATATAGCACACATGTTAATATGAATAGGAGACAATGTTTATAATAACATACATATGGTAGCCATATTAATCAAAAAGCGACTTTAATACAGTTACTTACACAGGACACAGCAATGATCACATATGGTTTTTGAGATATCAGTGAACACACATACATACATACATATACACATACAGACACACTAACTGCAAAGACTCCCATTGTGAGCTTCGCACACAGGAGTAAAAAAATTGCTCCCTTAACTGCTGCAAAGAAAAAATTTGACATCCTAATATGGAGCAAAACAGAAATTTGACTCCCTATTATACTGGAAAATGAAAATTTGACTTCTTTGTACATGTATGCTGCAAAATAGACATTTCACTTCCTAATGCAATGCAAAATGGTGAATAGTCTCTCTAATATGCTGAGAAATAAAAATGACTCCTTAAATGCAGCAAGAAGACTCTTATCTGCTGCAAAACTTAAAAATACATGTATGCATTAAAATTACTGTCATGAAATTAAAATGCTATGAATAAATGCCTTTTTATTGGCTTGTTTTTTAAAGGTAAATTAGCTGAAGTAAACCTTATTCTTGCTAATTACAGATGCGGCAAAACAAAACCTTTGTTTAAACCAGGATTATTCAAAATAAATGGAAATTTAGCAGATTTATAATGCAGGGTAAATGAAGAATAAAGCTGAATTCACAAAAAACAACAAACGACAGCTACCCCGGTAATTCAACATATGTTATACAGTAGATATCTGTAGCTCCTATATAAATGTAACAGTAAATGGCTTTTTTCTATTCAGTCAATACAACAGATGATAATGTAGCAGATAAAAAGACACCGCAGTCAGTTTCCATGCAAGGTTAAACAAAAAATTTATCAAAGACCAGGGGTCAGGAATACTGAGCAGTCTTTCTTGTTGCTACTTTAATTACTCAATTAAAAACAATCTAAATATAAACTAAATTTAGAGAAGTTTTGGTTGAGAAATATTGTTTCAAAATGGAGGAGGAGGAAGAAGAGGAGGTGACAGCAGGGAAGGCATTAGAGAAGGCAACAGCGGGAGAATTAGTGGAGGAGGCGACAACGGGGAAGCAGTGAAGGAGGTAACAGTAGGGAAAGCAGTAGAGGAGGTGACAGTAGGGAAAGGCAGTGAAGAAGGTGACAGTAGGGAAAGGCAGTGAAGAAGGTGACAGTAGGGAAAGGCAGTGAAGAAGGTGACAGTAGGGAAAGGCAGTGAAGAAGGTGACAGTAGGGAAAGCAGTGTAGGAGGCGACAGCAGGGAAGTAATGAAGGAGATGACAGTAGAGAAAATAGTGGAAGAGGCAGCAGTGGGGATTAC